TCTTTTTTATTTTTTTAAAGAACAGTCCAAAAAAAAAAGGAATTTTTGTAAATGTCACCTAAATTTTTCGAAATCTATGATTTCTGACTTTAACACCATCCAATTTTCCATCCATTTTCAAGGAAAGAAAAAAAAAAGATAAATTTTTTTAGGGACCTAGCCATGAATTTTCCTTGTTTCATTAGAAAATACTTCAAACCAGAAAAAAAAAAAAAAAAAAAAGGGACAAATGCAAAATAATTTCTTAATATGGCATGTTAACTTTCAAAATAGAATTATCTTAATCTGTTTATATAGAGAATAATATGTGGAATCAATCTTGAGAAACGTTGTTAATTGCTTAAGATCAAAGCAAATGCAACTGTTCACTTATTGGAAATATTTTTTTTACAAAGCTATAAAAGTGTTCTAGAGAGTTTAAATTATTAAAGCTATAACACGAGTTACTGTTCGGTTCATTTTTACACATGATTTTTCATGTTATTCACCTATTATTTTGAGTTAGTTCTTGACATTTTATAGCTTTTTACTTCCTTTTTGTGTTTTCTTAGATTTTACCTTGGTTAGAATGAAAATGAGCTAAACGGGCATTATTGGTTTTAATTTCTGTTTTTGTTCATTTTCGTAGGTCAACTTCTTGGCCTGGGATCAACATGCTCTGGTGCTCGGATGAGGTGAAGATCTTCATGAAACTTGTTCCAATGGATGTTAACTACAACATATCCAAATTTGAGCTCCATTGGACAAGTATTGCCTATCCAACCAATCCAGCATGTTACCACAGCTCTGGAAATCCGAAACTGTCCAGCTTTTACCTCCAATGTGTCACTTGATAATTCTTGTTACCATAACACTTGGTAACAAGAATTTACCTTAGTAAAAGAGATATTTTCTGAGGCAAAGAGCATATTTTCAAGGACAAAGCTTCATCATGGCAAGGGGACAATGGGTGAAGGCTTTGGAGGAAAGAATGACTTTTATATTCAAAGTGTGAGCTGTAAATTGATGGGCAAGGGAAAGGTGAGTGCAATCTGAAGTATGAGAGGCTTTTGAACGTGGGTAACCAATCCATTCTATCATTCTACACATTGGGAGCAGATTTTGGAGAGCTTGGAGCTAGGAGAAAGCCAAGGTGCAGCCAAGCAAAGTGGAGAAGAAAGCTTCCACCATTGATGACCTTAAAGCTTTCACAATTTTCTCAAAATCTGTAAACTCTTTCTAATTCTATTTTGAGTTTGTATTTGGAATAAGTATGAGCAACTAAACTCCATAGCTAGGGCTTAGGTTGAAGCCCTAAACATGATTACCTTATTGTTTTGATACTTGAGTGTATGAATTTCTAGATATTGTTGATGAATTCCAATTCACCAAATTAATCTATCCTTGATGTGTGTTCTTCTTTGATTGATCATCTTTGAAAGCACGCTTCTTGAGGTTGTTGGTTTTATGTGTATCTTCATGTTATCCTAAGCAATAAATGGATGAAGTAAGAATCATCCATGTGAATTGGTTTCTTGAATACCTAATGTAAACACCATGCTATTAGGATTCTTGTGATGTTCATATTCTCTTTGAACTTAATGGGTTCTCCTTGTAATTGAATCGAAGTACGAACCATACCTAGGTTCGGTTATGAGGAGGGCACAAGTATTGTAGCACGAACCATGCACTTTA